GCCTCCCAAGCACTGGGATTACAGGCGTGCACCACCACATCCAGTTTCATTTACTGTCTATTTCACTACAGTTGTCACTAAAAATTTAGATGGTACCAAGGCTGACCTTCAACCAGAAAAGGTTTCTATAATCTAGTATGACTTTTCTGCTGCAAGAATGATGAAAAGGGTGGTACTATGACCAGATGTCCTTTCTCTAGAGACACTATAGCAGGGAAGAGGAATCACACGCTCAGAACTAAACACCCGAGTTTAACCTTAGATACTGTATTTTTACTGTGATCATAGTGATTTATCCTTTATATAACTGTTAGAACCTTCATACATCTAACCTCTTAGTAATAAAATTCTTTTTTTTTTTTTTTTTTGCGGAACCGGGAATTGAACTCAGGCCCTTGCACTTGCCAGGGAAGCGCTTATTCTACTGAGCCATCTCCCCGGCCCCAATAATAAAATTCTTATAAATGCTAGTTTCCTTCAAGTTGATCCCTTGTAGCCAGGGTTTCATTCTTCGCAGTCAAATATGGAGGAAGATCACTGTGAATTTGAGACCAGCCTGAACTGCATGGCCAGACCCTATCTCAAAAAAACCCCCAAAAGCCAAAACCACCATTGGGTATAAAGTAGTAGTACTTTAATATAAAATTGTGTCACAGTAATCATTTGTATCTCATTAAAGAAAATCAAGAGATTTCATGATCTTTCTTCTTCCCAGAAGGAAGTACAACTATTCCTCATTTAATGACCCACCCATTCAACAACTGCTCAAGACTTATAACCAAGGCCGACTGGCCTTTTTTCCCTGGACTGGACTTTTAAGTGGCTTGGACATAGCTTTTTTTTTTTTTTTTTCTTGGTACAGCTCTGTCCATCCTGTTGACAGAGCCTCAGTGTCACTTTGCACAGTGTGCCCCATTTATACAGCACTGTAATTCCTGCTGACTGCACTATACAATACCGTGCTGCAGTTTATGTTATGCATTACAATAGTGCACATAAGAGTCATGCAAATAAAAGCAAAACCATCAAATTGGGGTTTTCAGGGGCTGGGGATACAGCTCAGCGGCATCAGTGCCTGCCTGGCAAGTGCAAGGGCCTGAGTTCAACCCCCAGTACCATAAATAAATAAATAAATAAATAAGGGTTTCTTTTGACCATTTCTTTGTTCTGAATATTGTAATCTACATACTATACACAACCCATCATCTGGGGCCCAGCTCATTTAAAAATGACCTAATGGCAGGAATGGAGCTTGGTTAAATGGAGAGTGCTTAGAGCCAACTGCATTTTAGGCAGAGTCACCAAGCATGCTGTGCGATTAAGCAGAACAGTCATGAAAAGACAAATGTGTTCACAACATACACTACTTCTGTACTGTCTGATCCCTGGAAAAAACAAGCTACTTGACATTTTTTAGATATATCTAAACAACATATGGTTTCCCCATTCTGCTGCAGAAGGGAATGACTTGGAGCTGTGTGTTTTTTTCTTTTGTTTTGCGGAACTGGGGATTGAACTCAGGCCCTAGTACTTCCCAGGGAAGCATTTATTCTACTGAGCCATCTCTCCGGCCCTGAAGCTGTCTTAAGAGACCTACTGATCCCACGACGCAGGCAGAACAGCTGTGCCAAGGGGCCAGGAAAGTATTAGTCACTCCTACAGAGCTCACTGCTAAGGACTGTGCTTCCAGCAGCTCCTCAGGTGATAATAAAACGGATTCAAAAAAAAAAAAAAAAAAGTAGAAGGGGGCTGGAGAGATGGCTCAGTGGTCTAAGGCACCTAATTGGAACAGGCTTGGCAAAGCACAGGGACCGCGGTTCAATCCCCCAGCACCACAAGCCAGCCAGCCCCGCCCCCTGGTGGGCTGAGCTGGCCACACACACACACACACACACACACACAATGTAAAAAAATAAATAAAAAATAAAATGGATTCATTTGGAGTTGAACAAATTTCAGATATAAACAAACTTTTTTTTGAGACA